TTTGTAGTGAACCTGATCTGACCTCAAATCTGATCAGATGAACAGGGACTGTTATTTCATTGATCTGCATCCAGAAATACAGTTTGAGCCATCTGGGGACTTTCTTTCTTGAATTAATCAAGTAGAAAAGACAATTCTCTATGATCATTACTATTTTACAAATGTTTGATAATCAAATTGTGTTAGTTTACTCAATGTTTATAGGTTGAAGAAAACTACTCATTTTTATTTTACATAAACAGTAAGTAATGATTTTTATTCCTCATTCAAAGAAGAAATCAGGTTAATATGCATTTCTTGATTTTCTGTCTTCAATGAGCCAGGTTGTAAGTATGTTAAAGTTCAGAGTCTCGGTCAACTAAAATGTTTACTGAGAAGAAATGTCATGTTTAACTATTTGAGAAGATACAGCAGAGTGAGACTCCACGAAGTCTGGTTTTCTGCAATAATCTTTCTGTCTGTTTTTAAACAATCTCATTCTCTGACCTCGAATTTGATAACATCTTACATCACAAACCACACCTTTTCCTGGTCCATCGACCAATCAAAAAGCTCTCAAATGACCCGGAAGTCGACCCATTTAAAATGTGGCAACTTCCCAGTTCATGCAGTTGCTGCAGTTGCTGCGCTCAGGAATGAGTTCAACTAGAGAGTGCACAGAGTCTGAAGTCTGAAGCAAGACGCTGAAGATTAATGGAGCTAAAAAGAGTCTGATGCTGCAGAGCTCTGAGAGTTCCACACAGAGTGCTGAAGAGTGATGGAGTTAGAGTTCTTGGATGCAAACGCGTTCAGGATGATCCAGAGACGTTTTGGGATTATAACTTCTGTTTGAAAAACCTCGTACGACTCTCTAAGGGTTTGGCAGTTCTCACAGAGACGCTGAAAGAGTCAGAAAGGAACCTACGCCGACGCTGATTTCATCGTCAACCAGGTAGAAGGTTCTATTTTCGACCAAGTGTACCGTGGGCCAGCTGAGATCTGATGGAGCGTGCACGTTTCTGGTCAAACAGATTAATTCCCTCACAAATCTCTCTGTAAGATAAATCTCCATTTCCATCTTAAACTCTCCTTTCTCCTAAAATCAGTACAGATATTTTAGAAATATCTGAAGCTAAGTCCTCAATCACCGCCGTGTGATTGAAGTCCATTATTTGTGAAACTTGTCTGTTATTATTTTCATATTTTGCCAAATTAATGTAAATGTTTGATGTTAAACTTTGATTCTGAAAATAAATGACCGCATTCATTTTGATGGGTCAAAGATAAATAACATCTCTCGTTACATTTCTGTTAAAATTCAATGCACGACATTTACACAGTCAGAAAGATGAGGAACTCGTGAAAAAGTATGAATATATATCCCTATATGACATACTACACCTTTCTTCTACCTGCTGATCTTAACTGATCTTAAAGGACATGCTGCAAATAAAAAGCCCATGAAATCCTACTTTAAACTTTTTAGTGTGGTTATATAAATCCTTTCAGACCTCGCAGTTCGGCTCCTTTGAGCAGTCACAGTTATTATCCGGTGAGCATTTCTTCCACCTTCCCTTTCAAAGACACATGCCAATCAATGGTGTCATTAATCATCACATGGGCCCAAGGAAAAGACTCCCAGCTGAAGTAGTTGCAGTTTAGAAGGGGGAAATAAGACGCATGATGACCAATACTCATCCTGACAAGTGTTTAATGACTGCCCGTGCAGAGCTCGGGGAGACCCTTCAGACTGCGTGTGTTGGAGATTCATGAGGTCCAGATCAGAGCAAGGGAGAGGATTATTTTGTCTGTCTCCCCATCAAGCACCCCCAATAACATGTTTCTTTTGTCAAAGATTTATTTCTTATTTGTACCACCTCTCTCTCTGCAGCATCAACTGCTAATGCTATGCTGTTATTTCTTCCTGTTTTCTTCATATGTGCCTGTCAGGTTCACATTTGGTGGAATTCCGTCTTGTTGGTTTATTTTTGTACAGGTCATACAATTTGCATTTGATTTTGCAGCATTTTTCCTTATTTCTACACATTTTCAGAGAAACCAGCAAAAAATTGCACTATTGCACAGAGGAACGTGCATTTTCAACATCCTAACACCCCAACAGCTGCTGTACTTTTTGTTTTTATTGTATTAGACAATATTTGAAGGCAATTTCCTGAAAATTTCTAATGGGCCAAAGTTTCTCTAAATTGCAAGTTTGGGACTTTATTTATTTATTACTTTTTTTATTACTACATTGTTCACGCTACAGATTTAGACATTTTACCACTTTTTCAATGTTATTTGATACATATTCCTTTTTGAGGTGCTTATCTATTAACTGTTGAATAAAAACTTTAATATAACCTTCTATGTTTAATGTTTCTTAACATCTACTGATTCCCTTTTCTGTTTTAGCCCTCACTTTATATTCCTATTTTGTGTTCTTATCTCGTTCTTCCTAACTTTTACACAGGATTCCCTCTTCTTGTCATCTTCTTTCTGATCACCATCACTGATGCCAAATTTTAACGTCTTCTTGTCCTCATCCCCTCCTTCACGTCACCAACAAAAGTTTCAAAAATTATGTTTCTACTGGGGATGGTTAAAAAGCCACATAAAAAAAAAGCAACATCTATATTTGGTTTATTGATTTAATTGTTTTTTGAGTTTATTACTGTTGCCTTTATCTGCATATAACCTTTATGAAATCTGCCTGACTGGATGTTGACATTTGCATTTCAATGTTATATTTATCACTCATGTTAAACAAAGGAAAGAATATGTGATTTATTTGGAACTGGGAACTTCCACTATTGCGATTTGTCAGGAAAATAAATGTGCATCTGTCATTTTCTTGATACAATATTAGGAAAGTAGAGGAAATACAAGTAATATATTTTGTGCATTTTGTTTCACATTGATATTTTGCATGTATATGGACTAAGATATGGACGGTAAAGTATAATTATCAAAATAATTTATACAGTAGTCGCTCGCTACTTTGCGGTTTGTTTTTCACGGACTCGTTCTATCACGGTTTTTATAAATGAGATCGGACATGACACACAATTAGCTGATTGATGGAAGAGCCGCATGATCGGCATGGAATTTTTATTTAAAATGAATTATTTTAAATTATTTAGCACCTGCTGCACCTTTGTGCAGCCCACACTGCAGGTTAAGCTTCCTGCTGCACTGATCAACTGTTCTCCGTACAGAGTGGAGAAGTGGGCGTGGCCAAGAACGCTTGCAGATGGCAAAAAGGAGCAGAGGAAGAGAGAGTGAAATCATGACATTCTGTGCTTTTTTGGAGCGTTTGGAGTTTAGAAACATTGTTTAGAATATTGCATTAGTGTGGGACGGGCTTAAAACGCCTCAATATAGAGTCAATACTAAACTAAATTACTACTTACTACTTGTACTACTATCCCTACTTTGTGATTTTTTTTCACTTATCGTGGGGATTCAGGGTACGGATCCCCTGCGATAAACAATGGACTACTTGTAGTATTATTCACTTAAATGCTTTCATTTGGCGTTAACTGCATGCTTATGATAACTTTCACAATATCTCCTCAATCTGACAATGAGGTGAGAGACATTCAGAAAACATTGAGTTAAAAAAAAACTATCCTACACCAATAGTGCTGCAAATCACCCTAGAGAAGGGATGAGACAAACAACTGAAATTTAATAAAAACTAATGAAAGATCAAATAAAGATTAGTTGTGAACTAAAGGAGCAACACAAAAAATCAGTGAAGAAGAAATGTCCACTAAAAAACAAAACAAACAAACAAAAAAAAACTATCACTGCTTATTTTATTAAAACATTCTGTAGAACAAGGGGGGATATTTTAATAACCACAGTGAGATTAATGTAACAGAAACTAGAAAATAGTGCTCTTTTTAAACATTTTTCCTACTTTCTACCTTAAAAAAAAGCTGCACACTGCACATTATAAATCCACCTAAGATAATGACCATGCTCCAGTTTGGAAACATGCATCATACATACGGAGTGATAAAAAAATCACGCTCACCTTCAGGAACTTATACAAAAGGAAAGTAAACCAGTTGGTCAGCATCTTTTCAGCAACGGACTCCGTTCTAACACAAACAAAAAGAAAAGAGTATTCAAGTTTATTCATATTAAAAACATTAAAATATATGATTTTGTAAACACGTTCTCAAAAAAAAAAATGTAATGGCAACAACAAAAATGGAGTCCTCTATTTTCTTAAATTGTATATGCAATTCTGAACTTGCTCCTTAAAGTGTGGAACATCACTGAAAGTAGAGCCAGTTAAATGGTTTTAATGCATTCTAAAATGTAAGTTTAACTCACACACACACAAAGTACTTGAATACCATATTTTTCGGACTATAAGGCGCACTTAAAAGCTTTTAATTTTCTCAAAATTTGACAGCAAGCCTTATAATCAGGTGCGCTTTATACATTAATTCTGGTTGTGCTTACTGACCTTGAACCGATTTTATGTGGTACATCTGAACAATGTTGAGAGTGAGTGAGTGTGAATAAGTTGAATAAAGTTTGACTTATCAGACTGTTTTGTTTCACTTAATGTGCTTTATAATCCGGTGTGCCTCATAGCCCGAAAAATACTATAAATACTTTTTACTTAAGTCTTGTTGAAGTGTAGTAAACTTTTTTTTTTTTTTTGGTTATCCCTTATGGATTTTGTTACCTGGTGTATCACTGGGATTTAATATTTTGAATCCATGTAAATATTTATTTATCATTACATAGTTTAATACATGTGAATCGTCTGTTTTCAAATAGGCAAAGTAACATTTTGAACTGTTTAACTTAATGTTTGCCATCAACTTTTAAAACAATAGACACTGATATGCCTCTGAAAAATAAAACTGTAAGCCAATGGTTCCCAACCATGGTCCTTGAGGAACTCCATCCTACATGTTTTCGTTTCCCTGCTTTGACACATCTGATTGGAATGAATGGGTGATTAACAGGCTTCTGCAGAACCTGAGGAAGTAATTAAATCACTGACAGCTGTGTTGGAGCAAGAAAACAACTATCAATCAACCTTTATTTATACAGGTAAATCCCATTGAGCCTCGAGGACTCATTTACAAGAGAGACCTGATTTCAACAAAGAAAGATGACAACAATGGACAACAGCAACAACAATAAGCAGTTATAAAAACTCATACTACAGTTTTTTTTTTTTTTTTTTTTTTTTTTAACAAATAGGATGGCTAAAAGGAAAAAGGTAACAAAACAAAAAAAAAACAGCTAGATTCCAAGACAAATGTATAAAACTAAAAACAGGAACATGTCTGCATTGGTCCCTGCCAGGAGTCCAACAGATTCTTAAAGCCACTTAGAGAGGTCAAGGTCGAGAGCTTCAAATCTTTTTGTAAGATATTCCAGGAAACAGGAGCGGAGTAGGAGAAGGCCCTTTTGTCTAGTTCAGTCCTCACTGAGGGAACACTGCAGGTAATAATGTCCTGAGAGCGCACTCCGTAGCTGCACTCACGCAGAGACATGTAGGAGGAGATGTATGAAGGCAGCAAACCAAGAAGTGATTTAAAGATGAAAATGTACCAGTGAGAGAGTCTGCGTGAAGTTAATGATGTCCAGTTAACCAATGAATACAGGGTGCAGTGGTGGGTACGATAATCACAGCCAGTTATGAATCTTAGTGCACCATGATAGACAGCATCCAACATCTGCAGGGTTCTTGTAGGAGCGTTCATGTAAATAATGTCACCAAAATCAATTGAGGGAAGGAAAGTCACAGATACAAGGCGTTTTCTAGCATTCAGGGTTAGACAGGATCTGTTTCTGAAAAAGAAACCCAGTTTAACTTTCAGTTTCTTTACCAAGTTTTCCACATGGAGCTTAAAAGAAAGATGTGAGTCAACCAAGATACCCAAATATTTATAGGAATCAACAAACTCAATGGGGACTCAACTAAAACATGCAGGTGTTCCTCAAGGAGCTGTGTTGGAACCACTGCCGTAAACAATGTAAATAATAATTTGTGATGGCATTTGTAATAAGTCCACAAAGACTTCTGATACAACGTTTACAGTGAATGTGTCTTCTCTTCCTCCCAAACCTCCCTCACCTCCTTAGTAACAGTTTGGGGTGGTTTTTACTCTCCAGGTTTCTGTCAATCAAGTCGGACAGCAGTTGTTTCAGGACCCCCGTTGCGTACTCCATCTCCCCCTGTAGGGCCGTCATGATCAGAGATGCCACATTGCCTCGATCACGCATTGAAAATGATCTGAAAATAAAATAAATACACACACACACGTAGGTAAATATGCTATCCTAAATGTTTACCGAGTACATGTGCACCATTAACCTCACAGGGATTGTATTAAATTGTATTTCTCATTTAATCTTAATTAAATTGTGCACAAACCCTGTTTTGCTACAAACCATTTGGCTAATTACTTTACAGTGGAATATGAGGTGCTAAAATGTTAATGATGACATTTTGTATTAATATATTTCCTAATTTATGGCCAATCTCTGTCATTTGTTGTTGTAAAACTGACGGGAAAGAAATAACTATAGAACATAAACTACAGTAATACCAAGTGAACTGAAATTTTAAACATATTCTTAAATTCTTATTAAAAAAAATAAAAACAGCAGGAACTCATTTTAGAAATGGAGTTAAATTATTAATACAATTAAATGAATTATAGCACATTGTAAACTAGATAAAACAAAGGAACCTTTGGGCCTCAAGTGTCCGTATGAATGTCAACAAGAAGTGCTTCTTGGTCAGCAGCTGGCCAAACAGCGTGAGTGCCTTCTCAACATTTGCTTGGACCTGAAGAAAAACATTGACAGATGGACAGTTACAGCGTCTGATGGCAAAGTTAAAAAAATATATAAAAAATAAAATAAAATAGCTTGTTAACTTTTTACATTTTAAAATTTGTCAAAATAAACTATATAATTACAAAAAGGACAGTCACAAGTAACTTACCACTTAAAGAAACAGCTCCTAAAAAAATATTAAAACATTTAGCCTATTGCTGCCGTTCTTTTACTAATTTAAATGGGCATCGTTCACAAACTCAACTCGTGTTTTTACACGCTAAAAGAGAAACAAGTAAAACATGCAGTTAAATGGTGGCTGAAACTTTCTGAATTGGAACAGAAGAGCAACAATGAATGTCATCAAATCACAAACTTACAAATGCAAGATTTATAAAATCAACCTCAGAAACTAATCCTGATAAATAGAGCTAAGAGTTCAGAAAAGACAACTGGGATAAGGGATGTTAGTGTAAACAATATACAGTAGTCCCTCGCTATTTCATGGTTTGTTGATCGCAGACTCGCTCTATCGCATTTTTTCAAAATAAGAGTGGACATGACACACAATTGGTTGATTGATGGATGAGCCGCATGATCAACATGGACATTTTATTTAAAATAAAATATTTTAAATTATTTAGCACATGCTGCACCTTTGTGCAGCCCACACTGCAGGATAAACTTCCTGCTACAGCTGATCAGCTGTTCTGCTTGCAGAATGGAGAAGTGGGCGTGGCCAAGAGCACTTGCAGGTGGTAAAGAGCAGAGGAAGCAGGGAGCTGAAATCATGACATAAAAATGTTCCTGCTTTTAGTTTTCTACATTCGCCTTATAATCTATCTGATTTTTGTTACTTTTTTTGCCATTTATTTGTAAAAAAAAAAAAAAAAAAAAAATCTGTATGCCTTTTGTGGCTGTCTATTGTTGTTCCTGTTGGCCATTGTTGTCGTCATTCTTTGTTGAAATCAGGTCTCTTGTAAATGAGTCCATGGGGCTCAATGGGATTTACCTGTCTAAATAAAGGTTGAATGAATGACATTCTGTGCTCTTTTAGAGCGTTTAGAAACAATGTTTAGAATATTGCAAGAGTGTGGGTTTAAAACGCCTATATATAAAATAAACTATTACTTGAACTACTATTTTTATTTCGATGTTTTTCACTTATCATGGGTCTTCAGGGTACGGATCCTCCACGATAAACGAGGGACTGTAGTCCTATGGTACGTTTGAGGAAGATCTTCAAGAAGAATTTGAAACTAGTTATTTAATTGCTCTCTTCATGGGTGCCACAACAGATCATGTGCTTCCACCTTACCTTACCCATAGTGTCCCCCTCTGTCACACCAACCCTCAGCATTTCCAGTCTCAGATCTCTTTCAAGGATGGCTTTAATTACCATATTTTAAAATTTGATTTGACTCTTCCAGCTATCCTTCTGTTATGAAGCACTCATGACTTGTCTCCATCATTTACCATGCACTCTCTTCTTCACATTTTTTATGCACAGTTCATTCATTTGAACTGTTAACCCCCACGAAAACACCTTTCATTCACAGAAATGTATTTAGTCTTGCTTTAATGGTGACGTTTATCAATCTTCTTGTCAGAGCATACTGCCACCTCTCCAGACTATCTTCCACCTGCTCATTTCTCTCACTACTAAACCCATACAGGATTATCTAAAATTATCTAGACTTGGGTGAGTAATCTTGGCATAATTAACTTAAATTGAAAACACATGCTACATACTTACATATAATGTGGTTGTTCTACTATTTAACTCTTAAACCAGTGCACATGACTATATTCCACCAAATTAATTTCCCTTTTAAGTACTGTATATTAAAGCAAAGGAAAGTTTTTCTTTCCATTCTTTTACATTGTAAAAATCTTATAACTAGAGCTTAATGGTATGCTGAAGAACCATTCCCCTATACCTCCCGCTGAGCAAAGAACCTTTTTGAACACTCCAGCTTACAGGCATTATTCCCATGACGACCCTTGGCTGGCTTGTTCAACAGCAAGGTAAGGCTGATTGGCTACTCACTCTCCTGCTGTGTTTGATGTCAAATGATTTTAGCAGACGACTTAACACTATTGTCTTCTTGGCATCAGGGGGCTAAGTGCTTAAATCTTCCTTTATTTGAATATCAATAAGACAAGAATTTTTAATCTTCTGCTCTGGCAAGGATGCATACGAGCTCAAACTGTCTGAGCTCCCCGTGAACTTGGACTGTGTTTTTGTCTAACTTACAGGAAGCTTTTCATTTAAAATGTTAAACAATTACAATCAGAATTACTATTCATTTGAATTTGTTGCAGTATATCAACATGTACGCCCTTAAATGATGTATTTTTCCATAACACTTCAGCAACCTGTCAATGTCTCATCAGTATAGAAGGGAAGTGGAGATAAAGTGTGGTGTAAAGCAGGGAAAGGGATTAAGGCATGGCAGGACAATATGTGTGTCAGAGGTGGTGACAGAAGTACACCCTGCTTGTTCCACTGGCTGGCACCTGTCACTTCTTCACAACTCACTAACCCCCCTGAAGATGTCCTGCTCTCATTCCCTCTCTCCATCTCCATAACTGCTTTAAATCTTCCTCTTGCACTCATTGTTGACTGTTTCACAGACACTTCCTCATTTTAATTTATCTTTCCTATTGTTTCTGTGTTTCTATGACTTGTCCACACACAACCACATATTCTGTTCCATTTTTCTCCACTGCAGCTCCTGTTTCTTCCCATTTTAAACATGCTATAATAAAGTGTCTGGACCTTGTTCTAAAGTGCTAAATGAGATTCTCAAGCCTCCAGGGTGGATACGGAGAGTGATGTGTTTGAGTAAGATAAGAACAAATACAAAGAGGGTGCATGTAGAGTACAGCCTGCCCTGAATATTCGCCTAATGTGTAAAAAGATTACAAAAAGAAACATTCATAGATCTGTGTACATGCTTGTTTCTGTGTAGTGTGTCTGTAGAGCGTAGTCCCACAAAGCAATAAAGATAGAAGCACTGCGTTACCCAGGCCATTGGCTTATACTGCCAACCTCATGGGGAAACACGGCTGGAAGGTAGAGAAATTCTAGACATAACAATAAAATGCATAGGCACCCTTTTCCACAATGTCTGTGTGACATTTAAATAAAGGTGTACTGATGCTTTAGAGGCATGGTTTAATGGCATAATTATGTCTGTAGTCAACATCGTGATCTGTTAGAAAACTTTAGAGTTCAAGCTAATTTTATGTAGTAAATAGGTACAAACTAAATTTTTTTAGAACAAATTTGTCTGTCCACATTAGCAAATGGCAGACTCAGAAAACATGCAACTGTGACTCTAAATATACTCAGAAAAGAAAACAAAGTGATAAAGGAAAACACTGAATAAAATTAGCATCATGATGGCAGATTTTTTTAAATCTAGATATGACCTTTAAATCACACACTGAGCACGTTTCTAATATCATCCACCTGCAGCAGTATAGCCCAAAATGGTAATTCTGTCCCACAGTAACAATAAAATTGGTCCATGGATTTGTCACTTTAAGACTGAACTACTGAACTTCCTCATTGTCAGCCTGCTTCAAAAGCTCATTGAAAATTCTCAATATGATCTAACTTTGTGCAGCAGAAACTATAAGAGTGAGGAGACAATATTGATCCAATTTGAGTTTCTCTTCAACTCGTTTTCTGTAAAACCAAATATAGGAGATACAATTCTTAATTTTACATCTAACTCTTAATTCCTAAGATCAATTGCCTTTTAAGATGTAACAAAATCCAAACTTTCCCTACAGTGCGTTTCACTTTCACTGTAGGCAAACTTACTGTTCCGAGGATGTTAAAAAGTAGAGGAAGGGTTTTTAGTTGCTTGTGAAATTATCTAAATTTAGGTGGCACGCCTTATATACAGTATATACAGTATATACATATACATATATATATATACATATATATATATATATATATATAAATATATATATATATATATATACATATATATATATATATGTACATTATATACAGTATATACAAGTCAAGGGATTGAGTGAAATTGAAGTATCTCATTAGTTATACTGCCATGGATTGAGGCTGAGGTGGCTCATGATATCCTGAGAGCTGTACTGAACTGAACCATCTTTAAGGCTGATAGACCATACACAACTTTTAAATAACTATATAATGTGATCTCTTCTTTTGTACCGAATGAAGCAAGGTAAAATAACTATGTCATACTAAACAGCAACAGGAAGCATGGATTCTCAGAACTGATCTTGTTTTTGTTCAGCTAGATTTGTTAACCTTTGATTGTAACTAATTTCTTGTCAGATGTGATTAAATCATATATAATTATTAGATTAATTGTATAATGAGTATAAAGGCACACTTTGCAAAAGTGTGAAAAGCATGCTCTGCCAGCTGGTGTTTGTATTCACCCAAACAATAATTATGACTTGGAATAAACAAACATATTTTATTGGTCATGCAAGAGCCATAATTTCAAAATGTTCAACAAAACTTACAGAAATGTGAAAATTTACTCACTAACCAGGCTGCCAAATGGTAGTGAGTGCAATTAGGTAAATAAGTAGGTAGATAAGTAGGACCGTAGGTAAGTAAGTACGTAAGTACGCAAGTAAGTAAGTAAGTAAGTAAGTAGGTAGGTAGGTATGTAAGTAAGGAGGTAAGTAAGTAGATAGATAGGAAGGTAGGTAGGTAAGCAAGTATGTAAGTAAGTAGGTAAGTACGTAAGTAGAGAAGTACATAAGTACGTAAATAAGTAAGTAGATAAGTACAGTCTGTAAGTAAGTAGATAAGTAAATACATAAATAAAATGGTTCAGGCAACATTTGCAGGAAAACAGTAAAACCAATGTAGACCAAAACACAGAAACTTTGAAAATGTTAGAATAATGTTAGAATGTTAGAATGACAAATAAAATGACTTTGATAAAAAAAAAAAATATATATATATATATATATATATATATATATATATATATATACATACAAACATACATACATGCACACACACAAGCACATATAAAGACGGACTAAAGAAGGAAGGCTAAGAGGGAAGAAGGGAAAGATGAAGCATATAAAAACATTATAAAAAGCACTAGTGAGAACTTTAAGATCACCCAGAGTGCTATTTTCTAACATCTACCTACCTTGTGTATTAAAGTAACTAAAATAAAATATAAAAGGTCAAAAAAATTATTCCTTTACTCTTAAAAGTTGTCGCTCCAATCAAAGTCACTGAAGCAGCACCAGATTCTACATCTTAGTATTTCTGGTCATTACAAACCTGGCTCTGTAGTTTGATGCTTTTAGAAGAGAGTAGTTTAAGTTGACATACAATTAATTCAACTTCTCTTGGTCTCAATGTTGAAATGCCTTTTTTAATCTGCTTCACTACGTCCACTTGGCTGTGCTGGAATGGAGGTACATGTACCAGCTTGACCAGTGACTTACCAGTGATGTCCTTGACCCTGACACGTATTTCTACTTTGTTTCTTGGACTACCTTTAAATTTAAATTTGTTATGCAATCTTTCACATCTTGTTATCTCATGCATCTAAGACAGCACTCCTGTTGATAATTAAAAAATAATAAAAATATATATATAATGTTAAATGAAGGAACAGTTAAAGGATTCTTCCCATGGAAACAGTTTGATGACGACACCAGCCTACTTGAAAATGTATTTGCATTCAGTGTGATGGGGATAAACACATGGAAGCCAAAGTAGGTAAAATATAGGTTATGTGATTGCTTTAAGGTAAACACCAACTTGAGTTCTTTTTTTTGCACAACTCAGGAAAAAAAAAGTCCCTTTGAAGAAACCCATCATGGGATAATGGCAATAGAGGTATTAAGCAGGAAAGCCAGAGGGACAGTTTAATAGCATTAAAAACAACTTTAAAAACACTTCAAGGAAACGTGTGCACTGAATCTATTTTGTGTTAGTTTGTAAGTATAGCCTCCTAACACTTTGTCCTGCTTCGACTGATTAGTCATTGTTAGTCTGTTTTAGTTGGAAAGTTGCTTGATGGTGTACTGACCCGTACCTCCATCTCCTTGAGCACAGGGTGGTCCTCAATTCCAGGGAACAAGACTCTCATTGCGTAAGTACGATAGTCCAAGAAAGGAATCCCTGCTCCGTCTAGCTCCTGGGTCAGCTCATGGATGTCTGTCTGAAGCTCGGCAAAAGCTACGAAGGAAAAGATAAAAAAATAAATAAATAGATGAGATACAAAAACTTACACTAAACAGTCCATTTTAATAACTTTCCTTAATAAAATCTAAATTCACATTAGAACTAACAAACACTGAAACTAGACTGCCAAACTAACTTTAGATGTATTAAACTTTTCTATTCCAAAATAGCAAACTGTCAATCTTTTGACAAAACATAAAGCCAGCTCGACTTCCATCAAACAGTCATAACTTCTATTCATCTATGTGCTTCATTTGATTTGATTTTGGCATCTGCTGCCAGAACATAAACTGTACAGTTTGTAGTTTTTAAACAAAAGTTAAGTCAGGTCCTCTGGAAGGATTCTACTTGTTGAATCTTTTCGTCTTTTATCCAAAAGACTTTGTCAGTCTGAGGAGCTGCACTAAACTCAGTCTTATAAAAAGCCCCTTCTCATAGTGGATCAACCAGTTTGCTGCTGACAGCCAAAACTAGATATTCACATGATAAAAGAGGACAATCAGCCTAACGACTGATCGTTAGTGCCCTGATGGCCGCTTGCTATTCACAGAGGGCTAAATGATACTAGCAATAACAGCATTGTGATAATAATAATATGTATTGTCATCATTGTATGTTCCCATACAATGGCAAAATTGGTTCTCTGCTTTTAACCCATCCACCACCAGGTGGAGCAGTGGGCTGCTATGGAAAGCACCCAGGGAGCAACTGGGGATAAGGCGTCCTGCTCAGAGATACCGCAAGATGTGCAATGACAGGGGATTGAAACCAGGATTTTTGGGTCCCGAGTCGGCTGCCCTGCCCCTAGACCATATCGGCCCCCAAGAAGGTGACAAGTACAAATATGTTGGGTTTTTGTTTGTTTGTTTGTTTTTTGCTGTTGTTGTTGTTTATTTTTTTTTTTGGGGGGGGCATATTTGTAGTCCAGCAGGCAAATAAGCTAAAACGTTTTGTAAATTATGTCATTTGACAAAGTCCTTTAAAATTTAAAAGGACTTTCGGACTCAAAGTGTGTCCCAAATTTTCCATGTCATGAATGCCAGAGCCACACCACAGTCAGGCTGGAAACAAGACTAAAATCCACTGACTTGATTTATTTATTTATTTTTTGCATTCTTATTTGCTGTATTTTTGGAAGCTCGTTTTAAAATGTTTGACTCAGTCTGCACATGAGTACTTAGTATTTAAACGCTTGTCACAAATCTAATTTTTATTTGAACTGATCGAGTAGAGTAGGTCGTCTCTAGTGAAGCTGAAAGGACACTTAGATTTTTAGACAGAGGGCAACCTTAGAAATTTTTCATTTTCCTACAGAAGACCTGTTGGAGAAAAAAAATTCAATAGCAAAAGTCATTTCATAGAAGAAGAAACGGAAAACCTTTTAAAACCAGCATTTTAAAGAGAACAATAGATTTGTGGAAAGTGTGAATGGCTCACGACCACTTATACATCTATAGGCTTACCTATTGCTTTTGAATTTCAGCTCAGAAAAGAAAAAAAAAATCTAATAAGAACAGAAAAATAAATCTAAGGGCAAAAAACAATTAAGGCAAAAAGAAAATCTCTGTTCAGGTAGCGAGAAAAGCCAAATCGGGAGACAGAAAACAAAGTTCCAGGAAAGGAAAGTCAATTAATTGCATGAGTGGATAATTATTAAGAGAGCAACGGATGAGTTTTCATGCATAATTTCCCCCAGCTGTTATTGGACTATTTGGTCCACAAGGAGCTGAAAGAAGTGAGGAAGTGAAAACGATGAGGAGGAGAAAAGATAAGGCGGGAAAAAAAGTCGGAAGCCAGACAGGAATCTAAAGAATTTAGTAGGAAAGAAAAGAAGATACACTCAAAGGCAAATGTCAAATGTGAAAAAGAACAGCGATGAGCTAGATAGTGCAGGAAACAAGACGTGATTGAATTTCATTTTCTCCACTTCACTTTCACACTTCTTCTGTTTTCTTCTTTGGTTTCCTTTGATTGCGCTCTTGTTTGTTGCTTATGTGAAGGAACAGAAGGTCAGACGTTGCTCCCATTGTTCCCATAAGCATTTTAAAGACACTGAACTTTGTTTCCCCCTCATAAGTCAAACAAAAAATGTCACCCAGAACAACAAGTCAATTTTTATGATCGTTGAAACTAGATAAAAAAAGAAAAATAGAATAAAAAATGCTTTAAAACACTGAGAAGTGTGGTATAAAATGTCCCAACACAGATTGTGCATGAATGTATAAATAAGTGCACGCAACTCTGCTTCCTACTATTATTTCTTTAGATGGTTATCATGCTTTATTTTTTTTAATTTTTTTATTTTTTGCTTCTTTATAATCAAACAGAGGTCGGCACGGTGGCACGGTTGGTAGAGATGCTGACTCACAGCGAGCAGGTCCCTGGTTCAAACCCCGGTCCAGGGGCCTTTCTAGGAGGAGTTTGCATGTTCTCTCCGTGCATGCGTGGGTTTTCTCCAGGTACTCCGGTTTCCTCCCACAGACCAAAAACATGCATGTTAGGCTGATTGGTAACTAAATTAGCTCTAGATGTGAGTGAGAGAGTGAATGGTTGTTTGTCTCTTTGTGTCCCTGTGATGGACTGGAGACCTGTCCAGGATGTCCCCCGCCTCTCACACAGTGATAGCTGGATATGGGCACCAGTGACCCCCGTGACCCGAAAAGGAAGAAGCGGGTAAAAGATAATGGATGGATGGATGGATGGATGGATGGCTGGATGGACGGATGAATGGCCGGACGGATGGATGCAAGGATGACCAAACAGGATCTCTACAACATCTGTATCACCTTAAAGAGTAAAACTTGTTCAGCTGTGGTTAGTAGCTATGCTTGCTATTGCGCAATATGGATGATAGTATTTGGTGTGATGTCTGCTTTTTATGGATGAATGAACCAAACAACTCCCGGGAAGACTTTCCAAACACACACCCCCACCCACACACACCCACACTCACCCACGCACACACAAAAATGCCATTTGCTTTCACACGTATGGCGGACCGCCTACTTCAGCTGCTACTCCGCCCACATGCTCTGCTTCCTCTCCGAAGGCCAGATGGGCGTGCAGCAGGCGGGGCGGGGAGCTTCCGGGGGTGGGAACAAAGCCATGCTTCACATCCCGCACAGAACTGGGTGCTTCCATTTTTTGTCGACTCAAGTACGCTTAGTTTTTGTGGTCAGAACAAGGTTTTTCTGTTAGACTGAAGGACTTCAGCAACCCTTCTGGTAAATATCACCTCAGCTGGGGGGAGGGGGGCACGTGGAATAGTTGCTCTAACAATGCAGCACTTTAAATCAGAAAGAATGGCAGTGTTTGTTCGACAGGTACTTCCGACTGTTAAGAGTTGTGACTGTGTCGTGACCACAGTGATCATATTATAACTTTGTAGCGTGGCATTGTGAGAGCTTGTGCCATTATCTTGAGTGTAAACATCTAATTTGCCCTCACATCAGTCATCCACACTTTGCTGCTAAAAGGCTCCCCTCACACACTATCATTTTGTCCCTGCTTTTTTTCCTCCTGCAAACAGTTTTCATGTCGCTGCGACCTCAGATAACCTCCATCACATGTCAGCTTTTATTACAGTTACCTTCAGTGTTTGCCCAGAGGCACCAATGGAGGACTGACGTACTTGACAGCACCACCATCAAAACAGGTGTTTATATCTTCAATGCAATTCCACATACCATATTTTTGGCATATAAGGTGCACTTAAATTTCTTAAATTTCTCAAAAATCTACAGTGAGCCTTATAACCAAGTGTGCCTTATATATGAAAAATATGGTATTTACATTAAATCCAATGCACTCTACACTGTTTAATCAGCTATAAATGATCAATTTCAGTTCCACTGGTTTGTGAAAATAGTGAAGCTGTAAAACTTTCATTCCCATCCGATCTTCTATGCAGTTAAACAAAGCAGAAGGCGTGCACATTGAACTCAGACTAGCAGAGCCATTGAGTTTGCACAGAGAAGAAAGTGCTGGAAACTTGCATAGATCCGTTCGTGCTTTGGTAAATTATATTTGCCGAGTTCAATGGGGGCCAGAAATGTTTTATTGCACTCAGATGAATGGTCCTTACATTGCTTCTTGCAATTGTTCACGGTAAAAAAAAATTGCCGAAGCATTCATCAAGGATTGTAAAAGAAACATGTCATAGTTTACTTGTGTTATAACAAGGTCATAAAGAGTGGATCATTTATGTAAATATATATTTTTAAAGGCAAAGCCCAACATTAAACTAATTTTCTACCTATAATGAAACAGTATAGACAGTTGTCAGCAGTGGTGTGCAACATTCACTAGGCAAGAATTTGTGAAACTTGAAAGAAAATCAACAGACTAGATAAAACATTTATTTTATCTTTTTTCCCCCAAGATTCACGTAACAGGATGTTAGACTTGGCAAATGATACACTAACATTTTATACATTTTCTGAATGTTTTTTTTTAGTTTCTAAAAGCATTTTAATCAAATTACTGTAATTTCCAGACTATTAGCTGCTACTTTTTTCACACGCTTTGAACACCACAGCTTTTACAATGCCGAGGCTAATTTATGGACTTTTTTTTGTTTGTTTTTTTGTTTTTATGGGGACGGGCTACTGAGCTTCACTCCGCCAAAATATTGAGCCTCGTCACACCCGGGCGCTCAAATAACTGCCCAATACACGTCTCTCTCTTGAGTGTGGGGGTCCCCGTGACTCAGTGAGACTACCTGTACGAATAAAGTTAAAAAAAACAAAATCTGACCAATGAAAGTACCGTACAGGTCACAGTGGGGACCCCTTTCTCTCCTCCCCTCTCTGTTGTTTGGCACACCAAAGTATTTGCAGCCACTCAAATAAGTGTAGATCGTGCATTAATGTGGCACTCTGAGCTTGGTGGGAGGCTTGGATGACTAGCGGCGAGAAATCATTTATTAAAACTGGTCGCATGCAAAGAGCAACTTTTGATTGTCTATCAATGGATCCTGACAGCGTGGAGAAGTGTCAAAAAGTCCTCTATCACCAAAGGGTTTCGAAAGGCATCTGTGTGATGGAGGACATCTTGTGCTGCACAGTGCACAGGCGGAAGGCGAATATAGCGATCAATGACTTCCTAGTAGGCTACAATATTTTAATTTAATTTCTCTTTCAACCAGCCATGTTACAGGCACTGTTTGGAAAATAGAAAAATCATAAACTGTAGTATTTGTATAATAATAATAATAATAATATTAATAATAATAACAATAATTATAATAATGTGTTATGTGTTGTCATCATTGTATGTTCCCATGCAATGGCAAAATTGGCTCTCTGTATTTAACCAATCCACCACCAGGTGGAGCAGTGGGCAGCTATGGAAAGCGCCAGGGGAGCAAATGGGGATAGGGTGTCCTGCTCAGAGACAACACGAGATGTGCAATGACCAGGGATCGAGCCCAGGACCTTAGGGTCCTGAGTCAGCTGCCCCCCTGTATACGTTTCCTGCACATATTTAATTAAAAGTTTTAAAAATATTTCTGTGTAAATCTCATGTTACAACGTGGACACCCGTGGCTTAAATACAAGTGTGGCCTACATATGTATAAAATAGTTTTTGTTTTTATTTTTTATTTAATGGGCACTGCTTATATTTGGGTGTGCTCAATAGTCCAGAAATTATGGTAGATAAAAAAAGTCAAATAAACTCATTTGGGGCGGCTGTGGATAAGTGGTTAGAGCAGTCGTCTTCCAACGCAAGAATTGGGGGTTCGAATCCACCAGCTGTCGCATGCCAAAGTGTCCCTGGGCAAGATACTGAACCCCTCATTGCCTCCGATGTGTGTCCCATCAGTGTATGAGTGTGATCTAAAGCACTGATTACTGTTGTATAGATCTAGTGGAGTGCTGTATGAACTGGTAAATGAGGGCACAGATTGTGTTGTAAAGCATTTTGAGTATCTGGATAGGATAGAAAGGTGAGCTATAAGTACTGTCCATTTACCATTTATGTCATTTTCTCTGTCATCTGTGCAGATTAATTTATTGTTAAGCTGTATAAAAACGAATGTCCAAACCAAACCAAAACCTTCCCACTCCCTACCTTCTTTACACTCCAGTGCCACTCTTGACTCCAGGTTGTCCATTTGGAGTTGAAGACGTTTCAGGGTGCGGTCCGCATCCCTCGACTTCCTTTTGTAGGCTATCAGCACAGCGATGATGACCAAAAGGAGCAGGCCACCACCTCCTCCGATGCCAATGATGGCAGGTAGGTTTAGCAGGCTGTCTGAGTAGATGTGAAGAGTCCCAGGGGAGTACTCAAATCCTCCAGCACGGATCTGAACACAGACAATTTACAATGAAAAGGTGTTTTTTTTTTTTTTTTTTTTTTTTTACACAGGTACATAGTTATTGAGCATGCATCAGGATACAGTTATTCATCAAAAAGCTACAATTGAGCTTTAGGGCTGCCCCCCCCACACACACACAAAAATAAATAAATAAAAAATACATTGCCACACTAAATTTTTTTTTTTTAATACATAAAATTCTGAGAATAAAGTCATAGAATTCTGAGAATAAAGTCATAGAATTACGAGAATAAAGTCGTACGAGACTTCTTCTTTTTTACGGCTGTCGTAATTTTTTTTTCAACGAGTCGGATCCACGACGCGACCTGTCAATCGATCCAGTAGGCGTGTCAGCAAATGACCAATCCGCAGCTAAATGCTCCTATAAGTGAGTCGCTGGGTCTCTTCAGCCTTTTTCTGGCATATTTATCGAAGACCTCTAACAGCGCTGCACACACACAGTTTCACTCACTGAGCACCGTTTTCAAATAGAAACAAAAACGAAAGTCATGACGTAATGACATCGCGTATATGCATCTCAGGCACAGCACACAAAAACACAACAGTTGGTGGAAGTATTGAAGCACCTTTTGAGTAAGAGCATCAACAACGATAAAGTTTAAGAAACATTCTTCATTTTACAACAGTTAAAATGCGATAAACCTGCTTTATCGTGTCAGAGTGCGGATAATATTACGACTCATTTAGCTTCGGATTGGTCATTTGCTGACACGCCTACTGGATTGATTGACAGGTCGCGTTGTGGATCCAACTTGTGGGAAAAATAGTCTTGCACGACTTTATTCTTGTAATAGTAAGACTTTATTCGACTTTATTCTCGTAATACTATGGCTTTTATTTTATTTTTTTCTTATTGTAGCAATGTAATTATTATATTTTTTTTTTAGCGTGGCCCTAAAGCTCCGTCGTAAAAAGTTGCTTAGTGTAAGCTGGCTTTTGTCGGTAGGAAAATAATAGGTAATGTGTCACATCAAAATCTTCTGTGAGTTGTTCAAATGTAGTTTCATCAAGTTTTTGGAGCAAAGACTTATTTTCTGTGCAGACTTTTTATTACTTGGTTTGGGATTCATACTAGCATGCTCCAGAAATAAAAGAGAGAAGAAACAGAGAAGGGAAAACAGCCAGTGACCATCTCTTCAGCAGCAGATGTTTGAGAATAGAAGAGGTGGTCAGAAGAGATCAGAAGTTGTTCATCTGATGAAAGAGAAACTTGCTGACCCAATTTCTACAGCAAAGATCATTAAATTTTCATCTGTTCTGCAGTCGCACTAAACAGCCCGATCATTGACAGGCTGTCTCTGCGAAGGCTCACATCAACCTTGACTGTTGTGAACATTTCTTGTAGGAAAGGCTTTCGATTCTTGCCTTTAGGGGAGCAACTTCAGAAGACTTTATTAATGAAAATTTCACAAGCTAACATGCTCAGATTTCTGTTGCTCTGCAGAGGTCTCACTGTTTCTAGATATTTGCTTGTTAATGTCCTCATTCATCACTGTCAACTTTACCAGATTTAGATCAAAAAGTGAATGATGTGCATGCGGACAAGGATGGAGCAGTGTAGAACAGGACGACACAGATATTAATGTCATACAGTCATAAAACACCCGACATGCAGGATACACACACATATACTTTGTATGTATACGCACACACACTATAAGTAATCAAACAAAGTAATCACCAGCATTTAAATCTCTCCCCAAGGAGCCATGGTAATTATGGAAAGTCAAACGCATCTAATGTTTTAACTTTTTTTTTCTTAGACTAACTACATTTATATATGCACAGTGCGTCTCTGGAATCCATCAAATCAAGCTATCCCCAAAGGGGGTTGATAACCGATTCAAATTAAGTGTGATTATAAGCTTTGAAGTTCTTGTAAGAGCACTTTCATGTTGACATTAACAAAGTCGGAATAAAAAAATAAAAAAAAAACAGAAAGTAGAAGCTGTTGTATTAATATCAATATAGTCGATTGCTACAAATTCAATTTGCAATAGGAAAGACAATTAGAATTACTTCTTTCAGATTAAGCAGCTAATTATCTGCGTGGACATGAACTGGGAAGAACGGGAAATAAATTGGTTGCAAAGAGGCCATGAAAATTACCATTTATTTTTATTTTTTATACTTTTGGTAGTAGAAGTCTTATTTTAGATGCAAGGCAAAAATACATGATATTAAAGACCTAGTATTTCTTGACAGAATGCACACCTGCCACCTTTCATGCCAGAATTTGAGACTAAGATCATATTTTGTTGAGAAAAGACACTAAAACACTGAAAATAACACTGAACAATCTTGTGCTTTTTGCGATGTCTTGTGTGATCTGTTTTTGCTTGATGTATTTATTGCAGATGACTGTGAACTACCATCATAATCTAAGCTCAAAAACTGTAAAATTTACTAACATACAACTGATTATGTGTAGGCTAAGGTGTAGTCAGTTGTAGACGTACATCCAGTGATGACTTTTTATGGGTAGTGTTGGCACAGAGGTTAGAGAAGGTAAGCATCTGACCAGAAGATCGCAGGTTGAAGCACCCCCATTCACCACCAGTTTGATGTTGCTAAAAGGTTTCTGGAGTCCGCCCTCTCCCCCGCCGACTTGTTTTGGGCAGTCATGGCCAAAGAAACCATCTGAGCATCATCAAACTGGTTGACCCACTATGTGAAGGTGCTATTTATGAGGCTGAGTTTGTTGTGGCTCCTGGGACTGATGAAGTCTTTTGGATAAAAGACGAAGCATTTCAACAAAAAGAAACCGTCCAGAGGACCTGACTTAACTTTGCTGTATAGCTATTACAGTAGTCCCTCGTTTATCGCGGGGGATCCGTACCCTGAAGACCCGCCATAAGTGAAAATTCATGAAGTAGGAATAATAGTACTAGTAGTAAGTAGTAGTTTATTTATTATTTATATAGATGGATATAAAGGCATTTTAAACCCTTCCCACACTCTTACAATATTCTAAACAATGTTTCTAAACTCTAAACGCTCTACAAGAGCACAGAATGTCATGATTTCCCTCTCTGTGCCTCCGTTGCTCTCAGCTACCTGAAAGCGCTCTAAGCCACGCCCACTTCTCCGCTCTGCACGCAGTTCAGCTGAGCAGCTGTTCAGCTGCATGAGGAAGTTTATCTTGCAGTATGGGTTGCACAAAGGAGCAGCAGGCGCTAGGCCTGTCAAAATAACAAATCTTTCTGGGCGATTAATTGTCTCAGAAATGATTGCGATAAATGATAATATTGTTTGAAATTTGACAATAATTCATAATTATTGTCAAATGTAAGAATAAATGTTTGTTAATTTGTTTTGTGTGTAATACCTTTTTTGACCACTGGATGGCAGTATAAGATTGTTTGAACCAAAGGTTGGATCGTAAGGGAGCAAGCAGCATATTTCTTTAAGAAAAATGGGAGGGAGGCGCCTTTACGTGACATGGGTTGTCTCTCGTTCCTTTTTTGGGGTTCTCAAAGTGGCGGAGACTCGGTGTGGTTCGAGCTCTTTAGCATAGCATTTGTCACGCAAAGCTTTCAATAAAAAAAGAACAATAAACAAGTCCTCAGCTATTTTTGCAGAGAAAATCAACTTTTTACACAAAGGCACGGGTTTCAACCGTGAATTTTGGAGCTTCGACAAGAGAGAGGTTTTTTCTGAGGTAGGCTTGTTAGCTTAGCTCGCACCTTAGCGTCTCAGCTTAGCTGCCTTTAACAATCTAAAAATGTGATTTTGGACGGTTAAAATGGATTTTAAAGACAAAAGAGAAAGGGAGGGGTCAGTGAAGCGTACCAGAGTTGAGCCTTTTGTCATCCAGTGTCTTCTGTAGAAGGAGAGAGACACGAAGAAACGATAAAGCCGATAAATGAAAATGAGGTTGAGAATTTTCATTTATCATGCGATTAATTGATTTATTGTTTATTGTGACTGGCCTAGCAGGCGCTAAATAATTTATTTATTAATTTTTTTTAAATCATGCCGATAGTGTGGCTCATCCATCAATCAGCCAATTGTGTGTCATGTCCAATCTTATTTAGAAAAACTGCGATAGAGCAAATCTGCGACAAACAAAACGGTGAAGTAGCGAGGGACTACTGTTCTTTGAAACTTTTTACTGCCATCTGCAACATTTTCGTTACCGACGCAAAATGAAACCAGTTTATATCAAATAACAAACAAGATGCATGTTGTCTCGAGGGCAAAACCTTAAACGTTTTCAATTCAAATTTGCTCTGCAACTGGATCGCTGGATGCCAATTTACACAGGTCATTTTCCAGAACCGAGTCATCGTTGGTACTTTATTAGTTACATCTGTAGGATAAAAGTCAGACTGTTTTTTGTCAAATGGCTTTTCAACAATCAAATTCGAACAGCTGTTTTCCGTAACAAATTACAGCATCTCCACATGAAACAAAAGAGCACTTCATTTAAATACTAATGAGTCTTCATATGTTTGTTTTAGGGAAATGGACGAGACTGTTGTAATCAGCAAGTGAAAATGTAGATTAAAAGCGTTAGTTTTGTTATAAATTAACCTAAAAGCGTTCTTACTGATTGTCTTCTGATTTTACCACACACTTTGAATGCTCAAACTACTGATTAAACAAAAAAAAAAAACTATAATATAACGTGATATATTGAAAACATTGAGTTGTTCGGTTTGATTTCCAGACCGAAGTCGCCCCGTTTACAGAAACCAATTAAAGGAACTACATGTTCACATGACATGGATGCACCAAAGTTTCAGCAAGATCGAGGTGGTGACATCTTTTCTAGGCTTGTCTATTTTCATTCACCAGACAGACTTGAAGGACTGGCAGAGGAACTTAAAAAGCTGAGGGCCAAAACAACAAACGAGTTTCTTCGAAAACTCAAGGGAGGCACGCAGCTGCCAACACACAGCTGAGCATCTAAGGGCACACACAAACACGCACCGACACAAATACTGTACACACATGCACACAGTGACACACACACAAGGCCAACGCGTATCGACGCCCATTGGGGTCCCTAGTATGTAGGTCATTGTGCGGAGGGAATATTTAGAGCTACAGCTGTGTCCTTCTCCGTAGACCTGCTCAACAATACTCGCAACGATGTGCCCGCGAACGCATCGGCCTTCTCACACACCGAAAGCAAACCGCAAACGTGTAGACCCTGTGCGTGCAGACGCCAAAAGAAGAGATGGGAAGAGACAGCTCTATTTTTTTCTTCGGCTGTTGTCACACTATAGACAAACTCCCCACCCTGCCCCCTCTAACACATCGCATCACTTCGATATTTAACATGACATTTTGTTTCAAAAAGAGAAGAGGAGGAGGGGATGAAAAACTCCAAAAGAGAAGTACCTTGGAGCTGGCTGGTTCCGTTGAGAGCCATCATATTGAATTACACGGACGCGCTGTCAGTGGCTTCGAGGTTTATTGACTGTAGCTAGCACGGAGTAAATGTCATAAAGATATAGTGAAACGACTGTGAAAGGACGCTGGTGATAAGTTTAAAAGTGGTAGAAGGAGAAGTGGGAGCAGAGTGGGTGCACTATCAGAGACGTAAAAAAACCCTCTAAAACATATTCACACAGAGCGCTGCGTCGCCTGGATGAGGTTTGACCTTCCTCTGTTTGGTGCTTGTGGGGAGGCTTTGTGAGTTTCAGTCTGCTTCAGTCGTCATGAATCAGGGGTTTCAGTCAGGAGCCTGCTGACGGCTCGGCCACCTCAACAAGTTCAGCTGAACGGTGGCTGCTGAACGCACTTTCAAACTTGTTTTTTTTTTTTCTACTGTAGCGTCAATTATGGAAATAAATAAATAAATAAATAAAACAAGCAATCCCCCCAAGCACCAAACAGAGGAAGGTCTAACCAAAAACAAAAAAACAGAAAAAAAAAAAAAAAAAAAAAAAAAAACAAAACCCCCCCCCCCCCCCCCCCAAAAAAAAAAATAAAATAAAATAAAGGTGAAACTGAACATGTTCAGAAAAAGCAACTCAATTATGATTGGACTCGGAGAAAACTTAATTACCACAGAGATCACTGAACCAAAGATAATTTATACATAAAAATAAACTCTGTAGCAAATTTGGTGGATTAGAAGTTAGAAACAAGTCTAATGACTTGATGAGTGGATTTCTGCATGAAGAAAGGATTATGTTATTACCGTGAGAATAAAGAGTCAGCATTACCACGACTGTTTTCAGAGCATGACTCGCTGCAACGACCGCTCATAAGGAAACAGCCGAAAGAAAAATATGTGAACTTATAGCTAACATTTTGCTAACATTATATTGTAATAACTGGTTTTCTTATTTTAGATTCGAGTTAGTTTTTCTTGCTTTATTTTTATTTACTGTTTTACTCATTTTACCTTTTTGCTACTGTGTTACCAATTTTACCTTTTAGCTACTGTGTTGCTAATGTTACCTTTCAGCTAC